AAACAAAGCCATGAGTTTTGAGACACCCATTGGAAAGGCTTTTGTGCATCATGTGGCTATATTTGTTTAATTTTGATCTCTGCTTTCTGACAGACAAAGCTTCATTCCCAGCTCAGTACAACCTTTAAAAAAAATACTACTGATCAACTTCAGAAACACTGTTAAATTCACTGTATTTGCAGGGTGTGTAGCAATTTAATTATGTATGATCCAGAAACACTAAATTACCCATTATTTCACCTCAGCTTTTAGTTACTAACCATCAGAACCCTGAAGAACTCAAAGAATTATTTGCAATTATGAAAAACAGAGTAGGCAATCTTCAGAGTACTGTACATATTGTAGATATTTTATGAATATTTCTTGAATAATAGTTACTCTTATTCATTCAGACAACAAAGTTGTTATTTAGGGTATTTTTTTTTATAGATAGTGCTATTCTATAAAGTAGAAACATACTTTTTTGGGGGCGGGGGAAGGGCTTTTGTAATCCCAAGGATACTATCTAATGACAGTGGTATTATTTATTGATTTGGACATTACTATCAACAATATCAAAAGAGGTACAGTCCTGTATTATAAGCATAAAGTCTAGATATAATTTTTAAAAATAATTTAAAAGTCACTATATAGTCACTTTATAATAATCTTTCTGGAATCTTAAATCCTAAATCTGTTGCTTTACTGAAGAATTAAAAAAGAAAAATCAGAAGCTACTATTTCAAGAATACACTGCCAAAACACATTTAAAGTTAAATGAATTTTTAAAAATTCAAGTTGGCAACACTCCTTTAAAATGAAATTTTTTCTCAGGTCAAGAGAGCTGTGTATCAACTTCAGCACAATTCAACTGCAACCATGCCCAAATGGCTTCATTTGGAACTCTCTTTGCACACAGTCCTGACACACAGATTAACTTGCATGTTATTTTAAGGAAACTAATATGAATTTTGGGAGAGATGAGACATTAAAGTCACCAGTGAGCATGGTTCATCCTGTTCCTTAAGCATTTTGGCTGCCTCTACAGGCATAATGCTGCTGGGCACCTCTACTCAAGTGAAGCAACCTACTCCTTCCCTACCTCAGAGCACAGTTTTCATTCCTTTTATATTCTTCCCTAAGACTAAGGCTACAGGTATGATTACCTCTTGCTCTGAAGAGAGTGTTACTGACCTGCAAAGGGGAGCACACGGATGCCTGCTAACCTCTGTGTTACAGTGACTCTGTAGCCTTTCACTATGGTCATTCAACTTTCTCATAATTTTGATATGATGATGAAGAGTATCTTCTATGGGGTAAAAAACTGTGATGAGGCCAGTGTGAACTGAGAGACCTATAACAACAGCTTAAAGAAACTTTCTGAGTGGGAGAGTAGCAGAGTGTTTGGGTATGAACTGAAAACGAGAAGTTCTGAAGCCCTGTGAGACAGTAAAAGCTGCATGTAGTTCCAAGATTCTTTTGCCAGCCCCAGTCCAGAAGCCAGAAGAATAAACAGAATAATTTGTAAAACTATTTTAATAGGTTAATTTTTTTTAAAGAAACATATCCAAAGATTACTCTTTAGTTGGAACCTATTGATGCCAAGCGCTAATTTAAAATGCAATAGTACTTTTCTGTAGGGGTAACACACATTAATGCCAGGCAGTTAAAATCAAGGCCCACAATTTGGCTGAATCATAAAATCTTCAACCACCACTTACCACAGGTTTTCCTCTGCATCAGCTCAGAAACTGGGCTCACTACTCCAAGTAGGGTATTGCTCTTGCTTCACACCTTCTTGATACATGCGTACACATGTATCTCCTTTTCCATTACATAATTTAAAAAAAAAAATCTTTTAAGTGAACTCAGTGCTGGTGAAATGCACCAGACTGACAGCTGCAGAATCTGAAGCCTTACGATTTATTCACAGAACAAAAACAATACTGGCAGTGCACTCCAAGCTTCCCCATCAATGCCACACGGTGGGACTACGGACGTCTGCTGGAAAGAGAACAGCTTATTCTCTACGTCCATTCGATTCTCGGCCTCTTTACTGAGACCACCAACAGGGATTTCAACTTGCAGTCTGGACAACTGTCCAGCTAGAACAAAGCCAGATTATCAGCTCATTTCATAGAGACCCCTGAATAGATATCAGACATGGTAATGGAATTTGGTCATTCCTGTTATGAAAGCATTGATGACCTGGAAGAAGCTCCTATGAGTTCTTTGTTAACAGATCTGGCCACTGAGTCCTATAAATGGGAATTTCAGTTGGTTTGATTTTTAGCTTTAGTTTTCTGTTTTTAAGTCAGTTTGTAGTTTCTTTCCTTTCCCGAATTGACCACTTAGTCCACGACCAGAAAGGATCCACTTCCGACTTGGACAGTCACCCTATAGCCAGAGGCCCTAGGATAACCTGCCTGCCACCACTGCTCCTGCAAGCAGCAACTGCCAAATAGGGGAGCAATAAGAGGGGTATCTGTAAGATGCTTCATAAGAGATTCAGGCCCAGGAGTGGGACCGAAGGACTGGATCATTAAGGCAGTGGGAAGAGGATGACATTGATTGGGTTTTTTTTTTTTTTGACCCAGGTAACATCGCAAAGTACCACTGGCTAAGACTAAAACTTTGGCAGCATACCACTGGGTAAGAGAGTTTGGTTACTGATCCACTCAAACACCTTTTCTCATTCCTATTTAAAATAACTACAAGAATACAGATAAATCAATTTAAAAAAAAGATTCCAAAGGCGATTTTGGGTCAAATTTTCAAGAGCAAAGTACAGATGTCTGGAGAAGGATGTCCTTGTAGTTAACACACTGGACTGGGCCTAGGAGCTCTGGGTTCAATTTACAGCTCTGCCACAGCCTTCCTATGTGATTTTGGTCGAGTAATTTCTCTGTGCCTTAGTTCCCATCAGTTAAGTGGGAAGAATAATTCTTTCTATCCTCTGACCCTTTGCTAGCCTCATCTATTCAACTTTTTAAGTTCTTCAGGGCATTGATTGTCTCTTACTATGTGTGTATATGTACACTGTGTATCTGTTTTGTACAGCCTTGTGATACTATGGAGAAGTGACTACGTGGTCCACCTGAATTTCCCTATTCACAGAACTGCCACCACTCTCAGAGTGTGAGCTCTGATAGCGGAAGGAGATTACATGAATCCAGTCATCTCTACCAATGCATTTTGAGTTGAAGGTGTCTTTTTGCTGTCTTTTCCCCTCCCTCCCCTCAGATGATATAGCATGACCACCACCACCTGGATGCATTACAGATACATTTTGCTTGTCCTTTGGGTGTGCCACAGGTTTTCTAATGAGTGCAAAAGTTTTGGAAGTATTTTTTCCAGCAATTTGCAAAACGTGAGAATTCACTTGGGAAATGTGAAGTGCAGAACTGAAGTTCTAATGACAAGGCCACTAGTTCAGTAACTCACCCGGTGGAGGAAACAACCATGAGAAAAGACACTATTGCAGATAGAAGCCTATTTGAACAAATGTTGTGCATTTGTATTTGGAAGTGAGCTGCAATCCCAAGGAGATTTATGCAGCTATTATGCAGCAATCAGTTTGGCTGTTTGCAGGAAGCACTTCATGTCTGGCCCTGCTCTAGATCACTCCTACAAACTTTTTCCATGGGCGGACTATTCCTTATTTATCCACTAATGGGTTCTTACCCTTTCCTCTGAAGCACTGGTACTGGTGACCGTCAGAGACCCAATATCAGACATATATTTTAATGGACTACCTAAGCAAGGACTTTAAGCCCAGTAGCTAGAGTGTGATGTCTATTTATATCCTGCCATAGTTCCAATCATAGAACTCCTAGTGGAGTTGTGGGAGATCTTAGAATCATAGGTTTAGAAGAGACTGCAAGGGTCATCTAGTCTAAACCCCGTATCTTAATGCAGTAGATTGAAAGAATTTGGTATGTAGCAGTACCACCTACCTACGTCTGACTTCAAGCCAGCTGCTGCCTCAGTTTTGCCTCACTCCTGACCTTCCAACCTGATTTTGTTACTTCAGTGACTTGACTCTCTGGCCAAGTCATAAAAGACAAAGTCCACCCTTTCCAGAGTATCCAAGTCCAATCCCCCCAGTCTCAACAGACATTCCTTCCTGAGGGTCTGCTTTGTCTCATCTTCTCACTCTCTGCCCTGCCCAGTGCTGGGGACAGCCTCTCCTTCCTGAGGGTTTGTCTTCTCTTCAAACTTCTGACACTCTTCAGCCTGCCTTCTAAATCTGGCTCTCAGGTGTTCCCAGGCTCTGTACAGTCTCTTACCTCATTTCCTTCTGGGTTCCTTTGAGTTTCAACCTGTTCTCTACAGAGCACCAATTCCCAGGGCTTCCTACCTGGAATCTCCCTTCTCTCCATTTAGCTCTCCCCAGACTTCTGTGTTATCTCCACCCCAGAAGGCATAGTCTAGCCACATGACCTGCCTGTAACATGACCTTACTTATTTTCTTCACCTGGGGAGGTGAGCTAAGTGTGTCACAGGTGAGACTGGACCCATCTCCCCTTAAAGAGACAGTCAGCATGTGACAGGGTATAAAGATCAAACAAATAAATGTTTGATATAGTCAGATAGGATTTGGCTCTTTTAGAGTAGGTACACTCTAAGATTCAACATACCGTGTATCACTGCAATTAGATAACGTCTATGTCTATCTGTCCATGCCTCCTCTGGATTAGAAATGTGAGCAATCCCAAAGCAAACTCAGTGAACTAAGGTACATCTGCTGGTGAAACTGAGCACTCACAGACAGAAATTTAAGATGAACAGTACTTAGAAAGATCTTACCTTAGACAAGTGGAATGTGAAGAAGAAAACAGGCTAACGCTATTTGTCTACATTACTGCCAGCAGAGTAAAGACTGTCAAACTTTGAGCTGCAACATTATAAATAGGCTGCAGGAGAGACTCTCAAGTATTTATAGAATGCTATTCACCACCATATCCAAACACTAAGTCAGCCATGGGTGCCCTGAGCTAACAAAAGAGAAGGATCCAGTGTGAAAGACAGAAAATAATATATTTATAAAAAAAATCAAAAAGGAGGCCTTGGATTATATACACTGTCATGCTCCTGGCACAAAATCTGGCTGAAACACTGCAGATAATTTTATAAGCCTAGAGAAGGCACTGAAGAAATACAAACAGATCAATGGATGCCAGCAGTGAGAAATAAACAGTTTCAACTGCTTTATGCAACTAGAATCACATTGCAGCCAGATTCGTTGCCAAGATGAAGACTTGGAAAGCTTCTGTCAGACTATTTCCAGTTACAGTGCTTTATGAAAACACAGGAGATATGGTGTGCCTTGATGAGAAAAAAACAGTGTATATATAGGCTCATCATCCTTGAGCAAAAACACGAAGGTAAGTAGTAGTTGTTATGGATATGTCTCCATAAGTAATAGGTGTTATTGTGTTCAAGCTTCAGTTTTCATGTATTTTGTACTGGGGAAAAGGGGAAATTTACATTGTATGTTATAAACTTTCCTGTATTCTTGCACTGGCTGTCTGAAAAAAAATACTTTCAACTTACAATCATTCTTTTGATTCTTTAAAATGTAAAACGAGGATGTCAAATGTACTAAAATTAACTGGTTTTGCAAAATGCATTCCTGATAATTTTTAACCATTTTCCTTTTGGTTAAAAAGTTTAGGATCTATTCTCATTTTGATGAGCAATAAGGTATGCTACAGAAATCGACTGACCATTGAGATAAGAACAGATCACTAAGTCTGAATATTTTTCAGCATGATGGAATAAATATAACATTCAACTGACTAACACATATTGTCCTTTCTTTTATGTTAAAGAAGACATTCTTGTTTTTGGATAGCCCATAATAATATACTCAAACAGGCACCGTACATATTCATAAGATGACAATACTGGAATTTGAAATACCACTTTAACAATGCTTTTCTAAAAGCAATGCTCTACAAATTATTTTGGGGAAGTTCTCCGGCCTGTGTTATACAGGAAGTCAGACTAGATGATCACAATGGTCCCTTCTGGCCTGGGAAACTATGAATATAATAATGAACTATACGTTTCATATTGGATGGACAAAGGACAGAGGGAAAAATTCAAAGGATCATCCTGGAGTCCTTCATCAGCCAAAACTCTCTATTCAAGTTAGTTTTATTTTAAACCACTAACAATATGCAATTAAATATATATATTCAAATCAGCAAACTAATCATGGAAAAAAGTGATTAAAAATCAGGGTAATTTATTATTAGTAGTATTCTGTTGACATGTGTTAGACCTCTCTAGAAGACCAAATTGCCACTGTTGAAATTAAACCAGACAGAGGGGGGAAAAAGCAGGTAATCATAACCATAAAAATAACAATTATAGATAAAAAATCTATATTAAAAAAACACTGATGTTGCAAAGTCATCTACTGCACTGAATGAGGCAGGGATCCTGTGGAAAAATGTGAACACTTGACTTTGCAAGCTTAGCATTCTTTTACCATAGTTTTTCTGTATGTAATTTTTAAACAAACTGAAAAAAAGTAGAATTTCTATCATTTGGTACCATGGTGTCCTTACAGGGTGTCAAGGTTCCTTCCCCACTCTGAACTCTAGGGTACAGATGTGGTGACCTGCATGAAAGACCCCCTAAGCTTATTCTTACCAGCTTAGGTTAAAAACTTCCCCAAGGTACAAACTCTGCCTTGTCCTTGAACCGTATGCTGCCACCACCAAGTGTTTTAAACAAAGAACAGGGAAAGTGCCCACTTGGAGAAGTCTTCCTCCAAAATATCCCCCCAAACCCTATACCCCCTTTCCTGGGAAGACTTGATAAGAATCCTCACCAATTTGTACAGGTCAACACAGACCCAAACTCTTGGATCTTAAGAACAATGAAAAATCAATCCCATTCTTAAAAGAAGAATTTTAATTAAAGAAAAGGTAAAAGAATCACCTCTGTAAAATCAGGATGGTAAATACCTTATAGGGTAATCAGATTCAAAACATAGAGAATCCCTCCAGGCAAAACCTTAAGTTACAAAAAGACATAAAAACAGGAATATACATTCCATCCAGCACAGCTTATTTTACCAGCCATTAAACAAAAGGAAATCTAATGCATTTCTAGCTAGATTACTTACTAACTTAACAGGAGTTGTAAGGCTGGATTCCTGATCTGTTCCCAGCAAAAGCATCACACAGACAGACAAACCCTTTGTTCTCCCCACTCCCAGATTTGAAAGTATCTTGTCCCCTCATTGATCATTTTGGGTCAGGTGCCAGCGAGGTTATCTTAGCTTCTTAACCCTTGAAAGGGTGAAAGGGTTTTGCCTCTGGCCAGGAGGGATTTTTTAGCACTGTATACAGAAAGGTGGTTACCCTTCCCTTTATATTTATGACACATGGGTCATCAGCAAGGGTGCAAGCTTTAGAGCCATCGCACAGTCCTTTACCACTTGAGCTAATATAATAACTGGTAGCAGCAATAGGCATCATAGGGTTGCCAGGTGTCTGGTTTTCGATCAGAACACCCAGTCAAAAAGGGTGGCGGCTCTAGTCAGCACTGCTGACTGGGTTGTTAAAAGTCCAGTTGGAGCAGGGTTGGCAGGCTCCCTACCTGGCTACACACGGCTCCCCAGAAGCAGCGATGTGTCCTTAGGCTCCTAGGCGGAGGGGCAGCCACAGGGGCTCCACATGCTGCCCCTGCCCCAAGCACCAGCTCTGCAGCTCCTATTGGCCAGGAACCATGGCCAATGGGCGCTGCGGGGGGTGGCGCCTGTGGGTGCAGGCAGCACGCAGAGCCCGCTGGCCCCTTTGCCTAAGAGCCGAGGGACAAGTTGCTGCTTCCAGGGAGCCGTCCGAGGTAAGTGCCGCCCGGAGCCTGCACCCCCTCCCTCATTCTAACCCCCTGCCCCAGCCTCCTCCTGCACCCAAACTTCTTCCCAGAGCCTGCACCCCACACCCTCTCCCACACTCCAACCCCCTGCCACTGCCCCATCCCTGAGCCCTAGGGTTACCAATTTTGGTTGGATATATTCCTGGAGATTTCATCACATGACATAATCTTTAATTAAAGATTAATCTTTAATTCCTGGAAACTCCAGGCCAATCCTGGAGGGTTGGCAACCCTACTGAGCCCACACCCAAACTCCCCCCCAGAGCCCACACCCCCTCCCATGCCCCAACTCGTCCGCCTGGAGCCTGCACCCCAAACCACCTCCCGCGCCCCAATCCCCTGCCCCAACCCTGAGTCCCCTCTCGCACCCAAACTCCCTCCTGGATCTGCATCCCCCCTGTACCCCAACCCCCTGCCCCAGCCCAGAACCCCCTCCTGCATCCCAAACTCCTCATCCCTGGCCCCACCCCAGAGCCCACACCCCCAGCCAGATCCCTCACCCACCCCCCCTGCACCTAAATTCCCTCTAAGCTGCACAGCCACGGAGCAGGCTATCAAGGGCTGCACAGGTGGGGAGAGGTGTCTCTCCCCCAGCCACAGCCCCAGAGCTGCCCCGGCCAGGGAGAGGCACTCTCCCCCAACCCCAGGCTGCTGCGGCAAGAGAGGGCTGGGATGGGGGAGTCTTCTCTCGCCACCACAGCTCCAGGGCAGCTTGCACCCTGAAGCCCTCATCCCTGGCCCCATCCCAGAGCCTGCACCCCCAGCTGGAGCCCTCACCCTTCCCGCAACAGAGGGAGTGGAATAAAGTGAACAGGGGTGGGGCCTCAGGGAAGGGGGTGGGGCAAGGGTGTTCAATTTTCTATGTTTAGAAAGTTGGCAATCCTAGTTATACCCTGTGTGGACCAGTCAATAGAAGAGGATGAGGCACATGGGTTTCGCAGTTATTTGCCAGACAACAGAGGAATAATGGGACTCAGGAATCCTAGGTCTATTCCAGGGAGTATGACAGAGTGCTTCTGTTCCTCCAGCCTCCCTCTTTTCGGCCCTTATTCCCAGGCATGAACTTCCCCAGACTCTCCCTTTAGGCTCCTGTCCTCCACGTTCCTATCAATTCCCCTAGCCTATATCTGTCCTCCTGCAGCTTAGAATCATAGAATATCAGGGTTGGAAGGGACCTCAGGAGGTCATCTAGTCCAACCCCCTGCTCAAAGCAGGACCAATCCCTTCTTGGCTCCTCACCTCTTTGCATTCAAGTCAGGCAGCTTCCTCTTCCTCCTCAATACTAACTGGGTGCTAGTACAGGGAGCACTGTGAGCCCAGAAGAGACAGTCTTTCAGTTCTCTATTCCAGAGCCTGGAGCCATAAGAAGTCTCCAGCAGCCTGGAGGAACAATTGCAGGGAAAAATCTTGTTTAGCCCCTGCAAACTTGGACTATGGCATGCTCAATGGAAACAGAATTTCTGGAACTATGCCAAATAAAAATTTTGATAGACTTAACTTTCAAAATGTTCGACAAATTGATTATCCTCAATTAGACATCTCCAAAATTTGCTCCTCCTTCTCTCAATTCACCATCTCCTTTATCTTTATTAACTGCTCTCTGTCATCTGGCTCCTTTCCTCTACCTACAATCATGCTCTTGTGTACTCTTTTTTTTTTAAAGCTTTCATCAATCTAACCTACATTTCAAACTATCACCCAGACAGCCAGTTGCCAGAATCCTTGAGCACAGTGTACTTCCACTGACTAGACTTTCAATTTGCTCCTTGATCTCTTTCAGCCTACTTTCTGCTATCTCCACTCTATGGAAACCATCCTCATCACAGTCACTGAAAAAGAGGTTTGAAATGTAGGCCAGGTAAAGGAGAAGAGGAGGTGAGAGAAGGAGAAGAATGCTTTGGGGAGGACTGAAGGAGGGCTTGGAGGCATATAAAAGACAAATTTGAAGAAAAGAGTTTAGAGTGGGGGAGCAGAAGAAGGAAAGGTTCTGCTGGATGAGGTCCACTTTTGTTTTTGAAGACATTTCTATTGTGTTAACAAGACAAGCTTCCACTCTGTGTTGCAGTTTTGTTCCCAGTTTATACCTCCATGGATAATAACTTTCAAAATGCTGAACAATCTAAGGTCTATCAGTTTTGTTTTAGTTAGTTTAAGCCATGCTTCTCTGCTCTTATTCTTCTTTGTGTCTTTGACATCATTATAATTCGCTCCTGCATTTCCTCTCTGCTGTATTCTTAGGACTTGTCTACACTTACAGCGCTGCAGATGCACTACTGTAGCGCTTAGTGAAGATGCTACCTATGCCGACGGGAGAGGTTCTCCCATTGGCTTAGGTGGTCCCCCTCCCTGAGACGCGGTAGCTATGTCAACAATAGAAGCCCTCCCATTGACATAGAGCTGTCTATACTGGGAGTTAGGTCAGTATAACTACATCACTCAGAGTGTGGGTTTTCCATAGCCCTGAGCGACATCATTATATTGACATAAATTTGTAGTATAGACCACAGCTTATTAAGCTCCAAGATCTCTGTTTTTTCTTTTACGTTGCTGACTTTTATAGACACTGCACATGACTCCCAAACATACCTCTCAATCCTGAACTCATTCCCAATCCCACTGCCCAGCCAGTCATCTTCAATTGTCTCTCAGCCCAATCTCTGTCCTAGTCTCTACAAACAGAGCATCTCATTTTCCCCTCTAATCTTTTTTCACCTCTCTTATCCTCTGTCACCATGAACCACACAACTACCCCAGTCTCCAACAACAACATAATCTCCAACTCCTCACTCTTTTCTTCTAGCTAACTCTTGCTAGAAATTTCACAGACAGTTATGAAGACAAGGTCCCCACCCCCAAAGGATTTACAATCTAAACAAATAACATATAAGGGAAGTGATAACATGGGCAGTATCATTAAATATGTAATAGGAAAGTGACATTTTCCATACACCTTTTAGTTCCATGACATTTAAGGAGATTCAGATGGAAATTAAGTTATACAGGGCCTTGACATGGCAATCCATTCCATAGCAAAGCGTTCTATTACTATAGACCCCTAGTCTGATGCAGCTAGAGCTGGGTGGAAAAAAATGGGGTAAAAATTGCAAAAAAAATCCCCATTTTTCATCAAATTAAGTGAAGAGAGGTGGGTTTTTTGGTATTTTTCGTGTTTATTTGTATATTGTAACTGCACAAATTTTATGGGAAGAAATAAAATGTAGAATTCTGCAAATACCTCAAGAATGTTAAAAATGCTGAGCTACAAACTGTGGGCATGATCCCACTGAAACCAATAGCAAAACTCCAGTCCTGCAACGTTTTGAGCACCTCCTCAAAGAGACTAGATGCCTCAATTCCCACCAAAGTGAGTGGATGATGAGGCTGCTTTGCACCTCACAGGTGGTGCTCAAGACCTTGTAGGATCAGGTTATGAAGAACTTTACAATCTACTGCACAAGTGATGGCATTTTTTAAAATTACTAAAATGTTTAAAAAAAACCCATATTTTACGGCCTTACCACTTCAAGTGTTTCTGAACTAACTCCCAGTTTCAGGAGAAGGTACATTCAAAGTGACTTCTGTATTTTCACTAAGAACGGAGCTCCAGGCACCCTGAGGAATTGGCATGGCTCAGGGCTCTACCAAATACTACAAAAATATGTAAAAACTTTATAAAGCCTTCAGAGTAACAGCCGTGTTAGTCTGTACTCTCAAAAAGAAAAGGAGTACTTGTGGCACCTTAGAGACTAACCAATTTATTTGAGCATAAGCTTTCATGAGCTACAACTCACTTCATCAGATGCACTTCATCCGATGAAGTGAGCTGTAGCTCACAAAAGCTCATGCTCAAATAAATTGGTTAGTCTCTAAGGTGGCACAAGTACTCCTTTTCTTTTTATAAAGCCTTATTTCTGCTACCTACCCCAAAGTTCATTTTCCTTTTCTTTCACCTACTTATAGCTGCTGCCAAGTGATTTTCAGTTTTCCTCTGAATGAAAAGATCAACAAAAAGCTGTCTCCATAAACAAAGTTAAAGTTTGTGCTTGGCCTGCCAGATGAGGATATACTTTCACCACGGGGCCAGCAGGAAGGACATTTGAACTTTCAGCTATTGCCAGGACATAGACCTCTTCTGTTAAGTTAAGCAACTAGCCTTTATGAAAGCTGAGAAACAAACCAGACCAAATGCTGTTCTGGGGCAAAAGGTACAGTAACATAGCTCAAGAGAAGAAGATTAGGAAGCAAGGTTACAAGAACCTAAAAACATTACAATAAATCACACACAAATACATACATAATTCTGAGCGTATGAATTCAACTCAGAAAAGTAAGTAAATCAGAAATGAAGTCAAGTCTCTATCATTTAATCCCTGTGATTTCTGGAGATTGCAATCTATATGATACAACTACTACCACACTCTGACTTTAGTACCTCTGAACTGCAGAACGAATTACAGAAAATGTATCTGTGCAGACTTTCTTGCTTTTCCCACCATAAGTTTTCATAGCAGAGTGAGGATATTTAACATGTAAATTCACTTTATGGCATGTTTACATAAACCACAATGGCACAGCTAAATCCCTATACATTGCTTTGAAAATTGTCTCTGTCATATTGTTTTTCTTCTGTTATTGCTGTTTTCTGCCAAGCTTGAGGGGGGATGCAGGATGTTCAATATTATGTAAAACAAAATAAAACAGAAAATAAAGATCCAGGAACTGGATGGATGTTTACGGAACATAGCTGTTCCTGGGAATTTAAACAATCATTTAAAACAGACTTGTTTTGTCCTTCATATGCTCTTGTACCTGGCATAAACTTAGAAAGAGCAAGTGGCTTGATTCTACAGCCTTTCCTCATATGAGCTAGTCTCATGGCTTCAGTAAGACTATCTGACATGAGGAAAAGCTAAAGAATTGGGCCCACAATCTCTACCCTAAGATCAGATAATTTAGACAGACAGACACAACCTATGAGAAAGCAAAACGGACAGAAGAAGGGAAAGTGAGGGATGGGCAAACTGGTTTATGTTAGGATTTGAATGCTATTTGTTCTATTTGAGATGCTACCCACCTGTGAAATAATCCTAGCAGTAATGGCAGAGAGATGGGACAGTCCGAGGCGAACAGAGAAACTCAGCCACAAATGGGAATGACTAGAAGTTAGGCAGCACTGCAGCGTGCAGCAGGAGTTCAGCACTTGAAGCAGCCATCTCCCGCATAAAGAATAGGTGAAATGTGGAAGGCTGTGGCAGCTACATACGAGCAGACAGGGGAGAGAATGGAAACTATTTTTCTAAATACAACAGGCATTAACAGAATGATTCAAGTGTTACACTTCCACAGTCAAGCAGCCAGAAAGGATGAATGAAGTTCTGTCATTACTGACCCTAACACACAGCCAACCAGGCTGCAATAAGATATCCATGTGCATGTGCACAATCTGCGTATTATAGAGTCTAGGACAGACTGTGGCTGGATCTGTGCAAAGTGCAGAGAGATAGGACACAAGGAGTCGTGCTAATCCTTGTGTCTCTGCCAGTCACATTTTCACTGGAGCGCACAGGCACTCTCCAGAAGGACAGCACCCAGTTAAGGACAAACCATCTGCCCAGCCAAAATTCCTTCTGGGGCTCCCATGGCAACTTGGACACTCTAAGTATCCCTACAGTGTAGGCTGGGACTTTAGTCATTAACCACATTATTAGGGCTGATAAAGTATAGCACGCAAAGACCGCTCTTGCAAACAGGAATGACAAGGCAACGGGCAGCACTGTGATTGTCATAGGGCAACCGCAGTCCAGTACATAGTAATGGCTAGGAAATAGTTTGCAGCAACGTTAGAGCTGGCAGAGGTGAGAACCGAGATTGCTTTTATATTGAAGTTAATTTTATTATGGTTGTCCATCTATAACCCTTATGAGCTGGTCAGAGCAGCCTTGGCATAGAGAGGGATGCACTAGCTGATAGGCTTTCTAGCCTGAGAAGATGGGCTGACATTATTTCCCTGTTGCACAAAAATCCTCTCCACGGTTATACTGTTGGCAGTGACATGACCCCATTTATTTACAGGGTTAGCCTGTAGATTTGATAAATAAAGACAAATGGTCTCAACAGAAGTACATCTTTCATGAACTCTCCATCTGACAGATGCGGTCACATTAAAATGAAGAAAGAATTTTCTACTCTGCATACAGTCATGATAAGAAAGGGGAGAGAACACATGCTGTTAGAGACTGAAGCTTTCCTTTTGTATATTTGTTTGTACTCGGACGTACCACAATGATGGGTGTGTTAGAATAAAGCTCAGCAGAAAGTGGTTGTATTGCAGTCCTTGTTTTTTGCTTAAAGAGAATAAATGCTAAAGCTCTGTCCAGTCACTGGTAATATTCCGACCTATCCTGCCAGACCTTGGAACTTCCACTAGGCCCCACTAGTGAAATTCCATCAGGGACAATTCTGCAAAGGGTGACACCGTCTCTCAACAATGGCCTTTGGTGGCTCACTGCAGCCTGACATTGCTGCTTCCTCTACAGCACAACCCTACATGCTCCCCCACATTTTAGTGAACTACTGGGTGTTTGACTTGTTCAATCCTGAAGTTCTTAATATAAAACTGCAGTCTCCGGAATCTTGGCACAGATGAAAATGCTGCTGTTAAAAATGGCTGACAACTATTTTTTGTGTGATACAGCAGCTGTAACACAAGGGGCCTGTTTGCACTGTTCTATTCATGGTTCAGCAAAGAAGATGTACAAATCTAGGGAATATACACTGCAAGAATGAATTGATGTAATTCTGCTGTGCTGTCACTGGAGTTACATGTGTTTTTTTTTTTAAGGGTTCTGGTACTTTCATGACTAGTGTCTCCATGAAAAGACACTGCTGTTGATCCTCGCTTCCATTCAACACCCTGTCATCAATTTCCTGCTCCACAGACAACTGACGTAGGCGCTGCTTTTACTTACGCAAAGGGTGCAACAGACGCAAAGTGTAGTTTCAATGCAGGCTCATTTTCTTTATTAAGCTATAATGTCGTGCTCCACAGCAACCCTCCTCCCAACTGAAGATGCCAGGAAGAATGGTGGGCAAGCAAGCCTTTTTGATAGACTCCTCTAAAGACAGCAGATGAGGGAACCAGCAGGATCCTCTGAAAGCTTCTATGGATTTCAGGAAGAAGGAGCTGAAAGCTCGGAGGTTACCAGGCTCTTCTTCCCCACCATCAAGATGGCAGCAACAGGTAAAGGAAGGGTACTGAGCTTTCTAGGAGAAGGGCAAATGTGCTGGTCAGAGGGAAAGTGTGATGAAGCATTTCACGGACTTTCCTTGGATTTTTTAAAATGATTATTCATACAAATCTGAAACTTCTGCAATCCCAAATGAACTGAACCCAATTATGTAAAAAGGTTTCACATTGCCCAACTTCTGAAGTAAGCTTTGATATCCCACCAACAGAGGGTAAATTAGCTTCAAACTTTCTGATGGTACCACTGATAGAGTCTGGTTACCCCATCATTAAGACAGCTGATGCATCAACGCACATTTTTAAGATCTCTCTGCAACAAGGTGAGCTAGACACTTTTTTCTGTTGAACAAAAAAAAATAAATTCTAGTGAATGAGGAATAATATAGGAGGATTTTTTTGTGCTCTTCACATGATTCACCACTATTCTTAACCACAGTCCAGGAGGCAGGGGTGGGTGGGAGTACTGATCAAGAAATGCAACAATATGACAAAAAAGTACCTTTCCCTTTCCCCCAAAGGTTTTTAGCAAATAAATGCTGACAATCAGAAACTTTCGACATTAGATAACACAGATGTGGCCCAACATTGTAAACTTAACACTGTATCTAGGCAGATGTGAAACAATTTTTTTCTAAAATATGCATTTCTTGTATTTCATTTCCCCTGGCATTTCACATGCTATTCTAAAACCCCGTGGAAGTCGTAGGTCTAATCTGAATGTTAAATTTTCATATAGTCTTAACACAGAGAACTATTGTGCATTAAAAAGAGAGACTGATGTTCTTCAAGATGTATAGTCCCTATACATATTCCACATTAGATGAATGGGCACCCAGTGACCAGTATCTAGCAGAGCGGAGCGTGAGCCCTCCCTCATGTGTTCTGCAGGGGTATAAAGGGCTGAGCTGTCCAGCCACACCCTGTTCCTTTGCTTCCTTACATGCTCAAGATCACAGGACAGATTTTGGTAGCATCTGGTCATCCAGAAACCTAGAGTCCAGGATTAGACACTGGCCTTATGGCCTTTAGACATGCCTCTCCTGAACACTGGGTCTGCTTGGAAATAGACCTGTGAATGTCGCAGAGCTTGGGGAATGTCCCTCGCCAACGCAGAACAGACACTTTGTGTGTCCGTTGTTGAGAGCCATGGCTGCCTCACAGAACAGGCAGTATCTGAAGCCTGGGGACTTGCCGTAATGGCAATGGTGGACTGAAGGCATATGGAAGCCTAACTAACTAATTCAATGACAGTCTGCCTAACTAGTTGCGGGTCTGATTCTTTGTAAGAGTAGTTCTGACAAGTACCACAGGAGATGGAGAAGAAACTGAGTGTGGTGGGGCAGTTATGCCCTTTATACCCTCATGGAATGCATGAGGAGGGAAGGAGGGCGCATGCACTGGTCCACGGTCTAGAAGATTCTCTGACACGTGCGAACTGGGCACACATTCACTTAACATGGAATATGTATATGGACTATCATTTGAAGAATTTATGAGACTACAGACCATGCAAATCTAAAACTATTAGAATTATATTATACATTCATACTAAAAATAAGTTCACTACAATCCAACTCATCAAGGGCAAATAAAGTACTAAGAGGTTTCTCTTTTATATGTGATAGAGTAAATTCTGCTCCTTAAATACGATATTTTGGCACGCTACTAAATGAGCGCAAAAGCACACACTATATATTCCCTAACAGTAGATTCACCAGCATCATCTCTCTCTTTTTCTTTCAACAGGAAGAAAACACTCCACAGACGTCATTTAAAAAAAAACACTATGTACATACAGTGCACTATTTGTATGAGGCTATTCCTAGGAGTCAAAGAATGTGTGTACTATAAGGAAATGCATGTTACAAGCCAGGTATTTAGAATTTAATGAAGTTAGGAGCCATATAGTAAACATTCTTACAATGATGGTTCACAGTACTTATCCAAAGGAACTATGGTTTCTCCTCTGATAAAAGAATGTGATTAACATAAATAGATCAGTTAGTCCCCCAGAGGAAAATTATGGTCCATTTCCAAATAAGTCACACATTCTCAGACAAATGGTTACAACTTCCTTACTAGCAGTTCTTTCAAATACATTGTTCTATATCAGAGCTGGAGACTCTAAATTGGATCTGTGTAGACTCTTATTAAAAAGACATAAGGTAATATAGAGAAAGAAAAATGGAACTAGATATCTGCTTTTCGTGCCTCATAAGGAAATGGCACAAAATAATTTCTTCCTTACCCATCAGTCCCCAAATCCATTTGTTCATTCACTTCCCCAGTGCTATTAAAATTTCCCACCACATATTTTTGGGATGGGGTTGTAACCTCTTGAGGACAAGCCCTATGGCTCCTGGGACATTGGAACTGAAATATATTCTATTCTGATAAATTGTTTGGTAGAATATAAGGAAAATATATTTATTTGTTGGACTACAGAACCTAGATAAAAAGGAATCATTATAATGTATATTTCTAGAAATAACGTTATTTATTTGAGGATGCAACACTACCTGTGATTTTTATGTAGGCTAATCCTATAGTTGATTGGCTACAGTGATGCTTAAGGCAAAGCTGAGTGTCCCTCCATAACTCAAACCATGGAATAAACCCAGCAAAAATGTCAGCCAAAATGATTTCCCTCACTAGGGGCCTGGTCGAAAGCCCATTTCAGTCAACGGGAGTCTGTCCATTCACTTTACTGGGTTTTGAATCATGCCTTAGTAGTCTTGCAGTGCTATTCAAGTCCCTCTTTCAGTCCTCAAGGAGGTCAGCCCATATTAAAACAATTTAGAGAGCACTAAATACTTTAAGTCCCAACTCCAGTCATATTAATGACACTGCAAGGGAACTGCAGGTCTAGAAGACTCAAAAATGGTGGTTAAATACTTTGGAAGGCTATTAAAAGAAAGCTGAACTCATTTTATTCAAACCAGCTGTATGAAAGTTCACAGGAAAGGAAGCGATCATTAGCATGAACAAACTGCAAAATGTAATTTAAAAAAACCACACAAACACAACTTACAGCCATCTTAGTGAAACATTTCAAAATTGAAAGCCTAATGAAAGATGCCATAATCCATTTTCAAACCATTTTGAATAGGAATGTCAGATTATTTTTCTAAAAAAGCTAATATTTTCAAGGACTTTTTGTACTAGTAGACCTTTTTATAGCACTGTCAATCACTGTAAGTAATATCTTAAATACATTCCCTCTCTGCTCAGCCGCAGATGCCAGCCTCATTCACCTATTTGTTAACCTCTCACAAAAACATCTCCCCACCTTTTTCCAGACTACCCCTTTACCCAGTCAATATCCTCCCTGAACTAAACCCATAAACCCATTGCTGACTCCTCAGTGCTCAATTAGTAAGTTAATGACCTCTACTGGGACATAGGGTTAGCTGGAATTTGTTTTAACTACAAATGTATGTGTATATTCTATACACACCCACACACATTGTATATATGTGTAGATATTTGATGGCATCCCTCTCCCACTACCCTTAGCATGCCACAGTCTTGTAAATTATTAACTCTTCCAAAAGGGACAGGTTCTTTCCATATGTTTCTACAGCACCTAGAAACAATGCTACACTGATCCTGAGCAGGGTTCTGGGATTTACTGCAACGTTATTGTTCCGCAACAGACGCAGCATTTTAGAATTCCTGAAACTGGTGATGCATCGCTCTGGCAGCCTAATCATAGTCCTTAAGCATATCTGCAGCAGTCTGACTGAAATCCAGGGAATGCTTTTGCAGTCTGAAGGAAAGCCCCCATTGTTAGGAAAGCATACAGTGTGGTATTTTTTCACTTCCTTAACAATGTGGTCTCATGCCACAGCAGTTATACCTTTACAGTAACAGAATACAACCTTCAAGTCATATTAAGATTACGAACTGTACAAGTTGTCCCATATATTATTTTTGTTTGATTAAACCATAGGTAGTATTCTTTCTGCTGTCCCCAATCCCCCCGTTTATCTCCTGTAACTAAAGAGTGAAGGAAGAAAAAGCTAATCACATAATTGCTATATTTATTTTTAATAGCTT